TGACCTACTGAACATGATGCAGTAGTACAATGGATGATGGCTACATACTTTGAACTGACATCGCTTGCTCGTGTAAAATTTCCTCCACACAAGCCCTATATTGTCGCCACCTTTACTGTTTGTTTAGTGAAGTGCGAGGACAATGGTGAAAGGATTCTGTATGTAGATGGCCAAGAATACAGCATTGTAAAACTGAGCAAATGTAGAAGTCATATACTTCACACAATGCAGTCACAACTGAAAACCGAGTAGATGGTATTATCTTATATGTGCATCACTCGTACTTCGCGACAAAATTATAGGGCTTGTGGCTTGTGTGTACGAGTGTGCTCCCTTGTATGATGCAGTAGGTCATCCCTGTCTTGTCTCCTTACTTTTTATGGCATCCACACTTTTTTTAATTCTAAGAAATTTTTATTACTTGTCTCCTTTTCATTTTTACTGCATTCACATGCATGGTGTGCATATATATTTGGGCGTAAATAAATAAAGTAACATTAGTGGCCTTAATTAAGCTATAGCCTCAGATGTTCTGCGTCATTCACATTACATCTGTGCACCAAGTTTAATTGTGAGAGGACCCATCTTAAGCAAGTTATAGGCACTGACACCATTTAAAAGTCTTTTTTGCCTGAGGCTGTTTGTTGTTGTGTACAACCTTGTATTTTCTGTTTTGGTGAACTCTTTATCATAGTGAATCAGTGTAGCAAGTTTCAACCCCATTTAATTGCCTGTGGCTGTTTGTTGTTGTTTACAAGCTTGTAATTTCTGTTTCGATGAACGTACATCAGTGTACCCAGTTTCATTGTTAGAGGACCAACCATAAGCAAGTTAGAGCCACAAACACCATGTACATGTTTTTATTGCCTTAGGCTGTTTGTTGTTGTTTACTACCTTGTAATTTCTGTTTCGATGAACTCTTATCACGGTACATCAGTGTACCCAGTTTCATTGTTAGAAGACCAACCATAAGCAAGTTATAGGCACAAACACATTTTACAAGTTTTAATTGCCTGAGTCTGTTTGTTGTTGTTTACAAACTTGTAATGTTTACATTTTGTATTTGTACAGTTTTATCACTCAGGGTATTGGCTTTACCTAGTTAGCACAGTTTATTTGTCTCTATCATAATGTATTGCCTGGGGCTATTTGTTGTTGTTTTTGTTGTTTACATGTAAACATAATTGTTTACGAAGAAATAAAAATGCTCTTGCACGACCTTTCATGGATTCCAATCTTTGTACGAAGTTCCATCTCCATATCTTAAGTGGTTTTTGAGAAACACGTGTCTAAACTGAACAATAACAACCACCATCGCGCAACAAGAAGAATTTTGGAAACTAACTTTCTTGAATAAATCAATTGGTCATATTTGAGATTTTCATGTTTCACTTTCTATTTCGATCAGGTCCAACTTTTTGACACATCAGACTGATGTGTCAAAAAGTTGGACCTGATGGCATAATTTACTCATACACATGAGATGGTTAAGTGAACGATTACCAGTACAATCTTCTCCGGCACACCGGCCATAACAAGTTATCGGTTCTCATTGCCAGTACCCTGTCTTCACAAAACGCACTAAATAAAGTCGCTTATACTGAGGCCGTACTGGCAGGGACCTGGTCGCCACCACTTAAATATCAATTGGCTCCACCACGACCTAGCATTCCAGGGTACCCGATCCCTTCACTGTGAGGCGAACAATTAGGGCTCATACAAGCTAGTTACACAATAGTTGTGTGATGGATAATCCACTGGTGGTTTAGTTTATTGTAGCCCTCTTTGGTGCAGTTGTGCCTATTGTGTAACAATAACATGCACCTCTCCCTCGTATTATGTTATTACCTGTAAAAATTACCCAGGTAGTGTAGCTTAAAGGTAAAAGTTGTTTTTTTTCCGGTGGAAAGGTGTAGCTAAAAACAAGGTAGGGCCAAACAACACTCACAAGTGTGCTTGTGTTGATTTGCCCATACATCTTAGTACACTATATAAATGTTATTACAGTGTATTAACAACCCTATACCAAGGTCAAGGAACTTCGCAGTGATATAGGCCAAGCCTGAAACTACTACCAACGGTGGTTTATGTTTTACATGATGGTTAATTATTCAGCAGGATAAACGCAGGGTCCGCTTTGTCATATCACTTTTTTTTAAAATTCTGAACAGAATCCTGAAGAACCTAGTGTAAAGCCGCATTTGCAAGAGTACAGAGTTGATCTAAACACTTGTGGGCCCATGGTGCTGGATGCTCTCATCAAGATCAAGAATGAAATTGATCCTACGTTGACTTTTCGTCGATCGTGTCGTGAAGGTAAAGAAATGCTTTGTGTAAGCTGTGGCAACAGGAGTAATCACATTTGTGGGAACAGCAGGTGGTGCTATACATGTAATCAGGCCCGAGAATAAGAAATTGTCATGAGCCAGTATTATTTGTATCCTCTCATGAACCAGAAAGTAATCTATATACACCTTTTTTCTTTTCTATTGCTTACACATAATGTGAGTTAAGGATGTGTTAATTTCATTGAGGATTAAACCATGCTTTCTTAGTGGAGGCATCCATAGCACTTGGGCCATTAACCACGCACCCAGAGCAATTAGCGGAACGATTAACAAACAAACACACCAAATCGACATAGCCTTCCACTTGTGTCTGTCTCACCTCCCAGACACCTCAGTTCACCCCTTCCACCAGCGACACCCTGCTCCACTAGATGCAATCTGAGACTGGGACTATTAAACGCCGGGATTATCGCTGTATAACCTAACCTTTCTTAGCTCCCAAACATCTAAGGTCAAGCAGAGAACAACGTTTATCCCCCCACGGCTCACTACCCAAAATGAAAAGCACTGAAGTGCAAACCCTCTACGAACTGCGCATGTGCGGTACCGCTAATTGATGGGCTGGTCAGTCCTATTAGTATGCGTTGGTCTCCTGGTCTACTTAATATACATGATAACTGGCATCTTCTCCTCCTTCTCCTCCTTCTCCTCCTTCTCCTCCTCCTCCTCTTCCTCCCCCTCCCCTCCCCCTCCTCCTCTTTCTTCTTCTTTACTGTAAACAACAACAAATAGCCCCAGGCAATTCATTGGAATTGGATCACATGTGTCAGTATAACTCACAAATGGTGAGAGCTATTTGAATGAAACTTTGTAGACAAAATGTATCCAATCACAACAATACATGTTTGTAAACAACAACAAAAAGCCTCAGGCACATTGCTTTAAAAATAATATTACTTCTCAATTCTCAAACTTTCTAATGGTAGCACGCATAGAGATAAAAACTTAGTATGTCACATCATTTCAATGGCAATTACTTGTTTCCATGACGACTTTGAACAACAACAAATAGCCTCAGGCTCCTCAAACTTGCTAACGGTAGCACACATTGAGATGAAACTTGGTACGCATGCATATTACATAATTTCTGCATGTTTCCATGACAACCACATATTGTTTGAACAATGACAAAGACCTAACTCCTCAAACTTGGTCAGATCTTCATGTACGACTAAGTTTTGAGTCACGAAATCTGCTGGTCAGCATTTTCATTGTTCTTAACTCGTAACCCATGTTCATAACCTGTTTTTCTTTTGGCATTGGGTAACCAACAACAAATTCGTGACTCAAAACTTAGTCTTATATGAAGTAACAAGGTTAAACTTGCTAATGGGAGTTGGTACGCATGCATATTACATCGTTTCCATGACAACCAAATATTGTCTGAACAACAACAAATAGCCTCAAGCACTTTTCTTTAAAATTACTTCTTCACTTCTGAAACTTGTTAACTGTAGCACACATAGAGGTGAAACTTGGTGCGCATGTGTATTACATCGTTTCCATGACGACCGCATATTGTTTGAACGACAACTTCAGGGATTTACTTCTTCACTCCTCAAAATTGCTAACGGTAGCAGTCATGGAGATTTAACTTGGTACGCATACGTATGACATTGTTTCCACCACGTGTCAAAGCATACCCAAGACTGCACTTGCTGGAATTGGCCAGCCAATAAAGCAGCTACTTAATAACTATTCAGTGCCCACTGTGAAGAGCTCCACAAAGAATCCATCACTTGGTTACTAAGCACACCACCATCAACTATGTAAATGTCTAGAGAGAGGGTTGGGTAAATAAGGTGATAAGACGAGAAAGTTAGCGAATACGTGAATTCTCAATTGGGAACTAAAAGGCTTGGGACATACTAGTATTGACCTGCTGTTCACGCCAAGTATTTGTCATGTGATCATTTGGCCTGTGCCCCTCGAATATGTGTCCCAGGAATTTCGTCAAGAAAGAAGTGGTGGCGTGGTTCATGTGCAGCAGCCTACCTCTATGTAGTACGTAGTTTTGCTAATACTTGGGGTCATTTAAAAATGAGAGGGTGAGGATGTATTGGGGGCTGTTTTTTGAAGTCCCATCTTTGTACGAAGTGTCCTGTTTAACTATTTTTCAGGTATTTGCGGATCATGCTCAATGAATATTGGAGGAAACAATACTCTGGCTTGTATCAAGTATGTAATATAGTCAGCGTTTGATCATTAAATGTAGTTCAATACCTTGTTGTTTATTACACTATAAGGAGTTGTTGCCTATACAATGAAAAGCACTAAAGTACAAACCTTCACTGCACTGTGTATGCGCGGTAGATACCGCTAATTAATGGGCTGGGCTAGGAGTACGCCGTTACGCGTGGCGTCCGGCTAGTAGCTCGTGGAGTCTGAGACCGGCTAGCTACACTAGTAGATACATAGGGGAGTCGACACACGTCCTTCATTGTGCCTTCTTGTGTCCCCAAGGTATACAGAGCAAGCAGATGAGGTTGAGGTAAGCCAGCGCGATTATGCATATTGGCTTTTTCACTTGTTTTCACGGCATATCTCTCAAACGCAGTCGTTTCAGGAAAATAGCCGTTTTACTTTTCTGGCTCGCATCGTTCTGAAGCCATTTGTAGTTCTTAGTGGCCTGTAGTACCAGAATAAGCTTCGACACACACACACACGCACACACAAACCAAGTACTGTAATCCTCGCTGCACATGCGCACCGAGGGTTAATAATTATGTTACAGTTTATTATCCATTTTAGCCGAATTGACCCATCACTCACGAAGCCTGTGAAAGTTTACCCTCTTCCACATATGTATATTATCAAGGATTTAGTTCCGGTAAGTGTTCACACGATGTTCAAAACTCAAAATCCCAGCTCTGTTCGTATGTTACACCAAAACCTTCCGTAGTACACTGGCCAATGTGCAATGTTTTTTCCATTGAAAGGGACCTAGTATTCTTGTCCATACTGTGTGAAATCCAGCTCTGTATGGTAGTCACACTGAAAACCTCCGTAACTTGTCGGCCAAACTTTCATATGTGCTTATTGTTAAAGTTCTTTCATGCCATTAGGAGGAGATCCCCACACACATGCATTGTGTGTACATCTACATAAGAAGACTGAAGAACAATGACTTTGTAGTGGTAGATAAGAGTGAAGCACTACATATGTGCTAAATTCACCTGTGGACTGCCCAGTGCCGATTGCTTGTATTTGTTGACTGTTTGCTATTATAGAATCGAGTGTGTTTTAATTTTTGTTCATATAGGATCTTACAAATCTCTATGAGCAATACTGTTCCATTGAACCATGGTTAAAAAGGACTGATGAAACAGAGAGTGAAGAGTACTACCAATCCATCGATGATCGCAAGAAGCTTGTAAGTTTCTAAAGTACTGTTCATAAGTTGCAATAATTGTAGTTGACATCCAGAGTGACCTGAAGAGACTGGATGTATTAGTTTTATAGGCACAGTGCTACAGACAGTTGCTGCAAATTGGAAAATATTGAACGCTGAAAAATTAATTAGCAGGTTACACAGGCTAACTCGCTGTCAAGGGAGCAAAAAAATACCTCTTCCAGTGCCAGTCTTGTCTTCGCTGATCCATGGACACGTGAGGAGGACTTAACCTTTTGCTGGAAATTGTTCTACAAGCCAGTTAAAGTACTGTTCATACTCGTCTACTGAGAAACCTTTTGAACGTGGTTTGTAGTCCCATTCAATAATTCCCGTAATACACTCGCACGGTGCACTTACAGCACTGTCTGCGTGTATTATAGGAGTTCTTTTTGCGAAATGTGTTTTGGATTCTGAAGAATGAAAACCATGTTCAATAGTTATTATGGCTGCCGAGTAAGGCTGGCACTAATGCGCAAGCATAGTCATAAATGAAGCTGCTACAAATACTTTAAGTGCCACTGGATTCAAAGGACTGAAGAGGTTAATTAATAATCTGCGTAATATCTAGATTCAGGTACAGCATGTGCACAGGATCAAGGGCCTGTTTCCTGTTGTGTAAAATAACTAATAAACACCACTTGAAGGCCAGCTTTTTTGAGCATCAAGAACAAATTTGTACTACAGCAGTTAACCAGACCCTCTCTTTTTGTCAGAGGTGCTTGCTCTAGTGACTACTTTGTGTAAGTGCAACAAATCTAGCACCTCATTGTGCACACTCATAATGTAGCACTAACGCCCTGCACGAAGAGGTCACGAGGCATAAATACTTTTCATGGATTAAAGTGCATGTATGGAAGTCGTTAAGCACTGTGCTAAACTTAGTTTTGAACACAGATAATGGGAAAGTTCAGACACTCCTATTCCTTTGTGTTACTAGGATGGGCTCTATGAGTGCATCTTGTGCTTCTGCTGTAGCACTTCATGTCCTGCTTATTGGTGGCATCCTGAGAAATACTTGGGACCTGCTGTTCTCCTCCAAGCGTATCGCTGGCTCTCTGACAGTCGTGTAAGTATTACCTTTGTTTATCTGAAGTCATGTTAGACGTGGAGGTGTGGTAACTACGTATGTGTTTTAGTGAGACAAGGGGCCTTGGGTTGTAAGTGTCTTGCAAGCAGTGAGGGTGCTACTAAACAGTATTGAGGCTCACTAAAACACCACGGCAAAGTGTGTTAAACTGACTGCAGCAGGGTTGATTACAGTCGCAGGGGCAATTGCAGTTCTAATGTCTAGCAATGCATGGCTTACTGGAACCACTGATAATGGAACTCTTAATTAGACATGCTTTTAGCAGCTGCAAGTAGGCAGTAGTCGTTGCTGCCTAAACGTTTGTGATTCTAAAATATTTTTCTGGTTATGCACATTAGTTAGCCACTCTTCAATAAAATGTAACTGGTTCATGCATTCACACTTTAAGGTACATATAGCTGCTCTTCACGCACTTATGTACTTTTGTAGTAGACTTATTGTGTTCTCTAAAAATTTAAACACTTACGAATGCTCTTATAGGATCAGTTCAAGAAGGAGCGTTTAAAAAAGCTTGGTGATCCTTTTTCTGTAATGAGTTGCCACACCATCATGAACTGTACCAAGACCTGTCCAAAGGTACATGTTATATATATATTTGTAGCCCGATGCGTAGGCGTATCAAAGGCACTGACAGTACAATAAATGCCATACTACGAACAGTTGGGAATTACTGAACGTAGATATTATTGAACGGTCCCACGCTGGCTGGCAAACTGTCCCAGGAGCTACCAAACTTACTGGGAGCTACTCCACAGGTGGTAGTCGAGTCTTTGCTCAATGAGCGAGAGCTCGACCGTTCGAAAATCTTGCTACAAACCAGTTAAGTAAGAGATAATGTGCATTTAGAGTTCTATACGTGATTTATGGGAACGAGGGGAGACTACTCATACAGCACGAGGCGCAGCCGAGTGCTGTATGGGTCTCGAGACCACAACCCGAGTTCCCATAAGTCATGTATAGAACGATAGGACGCACATTATGTGACTTTGTGGCAGTCGTCGACCTCTAGCGAGAGAAATACGACTGCGTAGCCTACTATCCATGCGCACGTACGCACTCGCTGGCTTCTCGAGCGAGTTCTCTGTTCTCGAGGCTACGGTAAAAGTCGTGATGGTGGCTCTTTCTCCCTCAGAGAAACTCGTTTCATAGGTCGCTGGGCCGTTTGACCGATCGGTGTGCCGCGGCCGCGGTCTCGCTTGCCACTGGGAGCTGAATGAAGGGGTGTGGTCGCCTCAGCCATCCCTCGCCTCTACAGACTCTACAGAACAGTCATCCCTCGCATCTAAAGCCTCTACAGAACAGTTTTTGTCTACACTATGGGTACGATGCTGATGCTAGTTCAATAATTCTTTTATTGAACGTTCAATATTGGTCATATTGAACGCGTGCTACAATACGGGAAATAAGAGTATGCGCAAGTCACAATAAAGCACCGATAAAGCTCGTATAATACGGTTATTATTGAACTCGGTTTGCGTTATCTTCTCTTGACCGCAAACTGCGTTTAATAATACCCGTAGTACCCTCGCACGGTGCTATAACTGGTACATGGACTCCCTCACCTATACCAATGCACTGCAGAGTACTGAATAAATCCTGAATGCAATGCAATATGGCCCCGAAAAGTAAAGTTCTATTTGGTGCATTGGCGTAGTTGTGAAGATCAGGGTTGAACTCTACTCGCAGGGAGTGTTGAACCGAGTATACAGTATGAGTCAAAAAACCTTTTCCATTATCGTGCAGTTCAACGGTAATTACCGTTCGTTTCGTTTGCCGTTTTCAGCGGCGGTACCGTTCGGTTTTTGCCTAGTGAATCGTTCGGTTCTGTTTCATTTCGTTTTGTTCGGTTCCGTTTCGTTTCGTTTATGCGCCTTGACTGTGTCGGCAGAGATCATCGAACGCGCGAGCGATTAGCGATCTGGGGGCTACGCCCACTTTTGAAAAACGCCTCCCAAGGCTTCTCCTTGTCGTGTGGAGGCGGCCTAGAGGACGAAAGCGCGTCTGGGAAGCGGAAGGTGCTCCAGCGAGCCTGGCTTTCTTCGGCGAAAAAAAGTGGCACTTGGACTCCGTGCACGGTACCGAACCAAACGAAACGGAACGGAAACATACAAGAACGAAACGAAACGTTATAGAACGGCGTTGCGCACGGTTTCTGTTCGGTTTTTGGACGAAACCAAACGGTATTGTATTGAACGATAATGGGAAAAGTTTTTCTGACACATACTGTACTAAACCCGGGCTCAAACTAATTTGTTAGTCATGTGTACCGATAATTCCATGGTTCACCTCGTTTCATGTGAATGGGTTCATACTCGCTCTCTTTTTATACATCCCCTACTTTATAACCCTTAATTAATTTCTCCCCTCATACGTTTATCCAGCATGATATATGTTCCTCAATTACACTAGTCTTGTTCAAAAGGGTATGGAGCGTTTTCTTGGTTGTTTTGGTTTGTCTAGTTTGGATACGCTAGGCGTGCAGAGCTTCATTCTATGTAGCCACATGACCTATGTGATTTCATTGGGTTACTGATAACTAAGACTGCTGAATCAGTGCAAACAATGTCACCTGACCCTTTTCCTCCCTTGAGGGTTGGGTGTGGGCACGATCCAAACACACCCTATTGAATTAGCTTGTAATAAAACTTTGTGAAAGCAGACTCTGAACTCCAGTCAGCTGCTTTCAGGATACATCTGCCATAGTGACGCCCGCATTGGCAGCGGCCGATGTCGCGGCACCCATCACTGAGTGGGCTTTGAATATGCCCGTGTCAATATCTGCTTTCTCTAGCAAGGACTTTAGCCATCTGGCCAAAGTTGAGGAGCTAACCGGCTTGTGTGGTTTTACCAAACGCTCAACATTTTTCTGTGAACGGAGACTCGCTGTTTTCTCCTCATATGCAGTGTCTCTTTTTGGCACAAGTGGGTCCTCGAAAGTCGGAAAAGAAGAATTTTGCTCTTGGCTTCCCAGCCCACGCCTGTTTTGGAAAGCCATTGTCTTGGAATGTTACCCCCTCTGGGGAAATTCGCATGAACCTCAAGTCTAGCTTTGCTAGATCTGCAGACCTGGAGGGTCTGGTCAGGACCAGGAGCATAGCCAGCTTCCAGGCCAGGTCTTTTAGTGGGAGGGTCCCTGATGGCCCTAGGGACACAAGGAAATCCAAAACACTGGACACATCTTATGTAGACTCATATCATGACTGGGGAGGACGAAGTTTGAATGCCCCTTTCATCACTCTAGACACCAAAGGGTGCTTGCCCACTGTAACGATCTCGGAGAGAATCTTCGTTGCCCAACAATTATTCAGAATCACGTGGCAGAATATACACTACGCATGCGTACAGATGCATACATACATGATATTAGTAGTGAATCACAACAGTCAATATCCATGACACCACACTCCTCCCCCCTCAATTCAAACCCTACCGGGAGACGGATCATACCGGTCCGGTGGCTGACGAGATCGTCGTGGATAGCGAGCTGACTCGGAAATATCGGATGAAGTCGAGTTAGAGTGCGTGTTGTCATTCGAAACGGTAGGTGTCTCTGTAGTTCCAGTTACCCCACTAGAATGTGCGTCACTGCGTCCACTACCATCGTCTGGAGCCTCGTCCGCGACAGGTACTGGTGAATAAGAACTTTCACCCACGCTCTGTTGCGGTTCTTCCGGGGGGCGACATCCAACCTCTGGACCCTCTGTGCTTCCTCGTTCTCTCAGCTGGTCAATGTGTCTCTTCCACACAACCCCTTCTCTGATCTTAACTCGGTAAGATAGAGGCCCCAGCTGCTCCACCACTGATCCCTTCACCCACCGAGCCCCTGCACGCCAGTTCCTCACCCACACCAACTGCCCTGATTGTAACTCCCGTGATCGGCTATGTTGGTCATGTCTCCTCTTCTGAGCCTCTTGATTCTTCCTTACAGAATCTTCCACTGACGGGTGAAGCAAGTGGAGCCTGGTACGCAGTGTCCTCCCCAGAAAAAGGTCACATGGAGCCACTCCAGTTGTAGCATGGGAGGTTGACCTGTAGTGCAACAGAAAAGCGGCCAACGCTTGATCAAGGGGGGTCCCCTTCCTGCAAGCCGCTTGGAGTGACTGCTTCACGGTACGTACAAGCCGTTCGGCAGCTCCATTGGAGGCTGGGTGATAAGGCGCCGTCCGAATATGCTTTACTCCATTCCCCTTCAGGAATGCTTCGAAATCGGCAGTGGGCCATTATCCGACACCAACTGTTGTGGAATACCATAGCGGGCGAACATCTCCCTGAGCACCGTGATCATGTGAGCTGAGGTAGTACTGGACATCAATGAGATCTCAGGCCATTTTGAATGAGCATCATAGGCAACGAGAAGCATTTTACCTCTCACGGGTCCTGCGTAGTCGATATGGATTCTTTCCATGGGTTCTGTGGGCCACTCCTAGGGGTGAAGTGGGGCCTTCGGTGGGGCTGCTCTGCCCTCTTGGCACGCAGCGCAGTCCTTGACAGTCTGTTCCACATCTCGGTCAATTTGTGGCCACCAGACCAGACTTCGAGCAAAAGCCTTCATTCTACCCGCCCCTGGGTGGCCCCGGTGTAGCTCATTTAGGACTTGTGGCCGCAGTGCTGGCGGAATGATAACTCGAATTCCCCAAAAGATAGCATCGCCCTCCACGCTGAGCTCCTCCCGCTTCTGCCAATACGGTAACAGCCTCTCTGGGACAGCCGCAGGCCATCCCTATCGAAGGGCTGTCAGCACTTGCGAAAGCACTGGATCTCTCCTGGTGGCTTCCATAACTGCGGTGGAGTTCACTGGCAGTGCTTCGATCTGTGCGAAATTGAACACTGTAGGGTCTGGAGGATTCCCCACAGTGGTAGAGCTAGGCAGTGGTAACCGTGACAATGCATCAGCATTACAATGTGCTTCTGTTGGTCGAAATCGAATGGTGTACGAATATACCGAGAGTAGCAACGCCCACTGCTGCAGTCGTGCGGCAGCCATGGCTGGCACACGGCCAAAAATTGTGGTTAATGGCTTATGATCGGTGAGAAGTGTAAAGTTGCGCCCATACAAACACAGATGAAACTTCTTTATGCCAAACACAATGGACAGAGCTTCTTTTTCAATCTGGGAGTAATTTTGTTCGCTCTTGGATAGTGTGCGAGATGCATGCGCGATCGGACGATCTGTTCCATCTGGCATGATGTGAGACAGGACTGCTCCCACATATCAGTGGCAAGTTGCACCGGCTAACTTGGCATCATAGTGAACCAGTACAGGCGCTGTGGTAGGCTCTCTTTAGCGACCTGAAATGCCTGACCACATTCCTCCGACCAAACCCACTATTGTCCTTTCTGGAGTAACTTGTGCAATGGCTGCAGAGGTTAGGAATGAATTTTGCGTAATAATTTAGCATGCCCAGAAAATACCTCAATTTGGACACATTCCGAGGTTTAGGTGCATCAGTGACTGCAGCTACCTTACTCGGCAAGGTGTGGATTCCAAAGCAATCAAATGTGGCGGCCAAGATACTGTACGGAGTCCTGGTAAAAGTGAAAACGTTCTGCGATCACCAGTGGCTTGGGCTCGTAGTGCTGCTTCAACGCAGTAACCAGCTCCGCGTAGGACTTGGTCTTAGGATTTTCCGGAGTCATCAAGTTGTGGAGAACTCCGTACGCCGATGCCCCGATGACTGTGAGCAAAAGTGGAACTTTCCTCTCGTCCGGTATATACATTGTTTGCCGAGAAAAAGAGATCGACTCTCTCTAGGTATACCGACAGGGTCTCGCTATCTGGGAAGAAATGGTCTATTTGGCCAAAAACAGCCATAATTAGTCCCACCTCGTCGCCAGTTGTAACGATTTCGGAGAGAATCTTCGTTGCCCAACAATTATTCAGAATCACGTGGCAGAATATACACTACGCATGCGTACAGATGCATACATAACATTCATACATGATATTAGTAGTGAATCACAACAGTCAATATCCATGACACCACACCCACCTCATAACCATCAACTCTTTCGTGCACTGACGAGATAGCCAAGCGATAGGCATTCAGGGAGTGATACTGATAGCCTTCCTTGAATAGGTGAGCCAGAAAATTCCATTCCGTGCATCGAAGCATCCGACTCCATGACTATCGACGGTTTTTTCGGTCATGAGAGTTTTGCTGTTCCAGGCCGTTAAGTGGTCTACCCACCACTGCAGTTCCTCCCGCTCTTCCTCCAAGAGCGCTAGCTGCATAGAGTAGTCTTGGCCAGACTGGTCCTGACCCCGCTTCAACGCTCGTTGAAGTTTGTGGAAAAACAGAGGCGCTATGGGAAGCGCCCCGAGTTGCAGCCTGGAGTTTGCCCAGGAGTTGCAATAGCTTTCGTATTGACACCTGCCTGTTTCCAAACAGGGCGCGTGTCTCGGCTCTGATCTTCTGCAGGCGAACGCTTGGCCACCAGGTCCAGCTTTTGGCATTTGGTCGCCTCCAAGTTTGCGAAGGCAAATGGCTTCCTCGCTAGGAGTCGTGCCTGGTTGCTAACCGGTTGGCTAAACACCGACTTCAAAGCCTTGGCAGTGTTCTCTGACACTTGGCGTAGCGGTCGTGTCGACTCGTCCTAGTCTTTGTCCCAGTTGAGTGTGGCATTGTAGTCCGAGGCGGAGAGTCTTTCCTCCGGCGGAATGTCGGCCCAGCTTCGTCTGCCAGTAGGGCGTGACACTTGGGCGGTGGTTGAGGTGGGAGGGGCAGCAGTGGCTTCTGCCATCGTCTGCTCCGAGACGTGGTCTGGTGTTGAGTCTCCGCTCAACTGGTACACCCTTGTCCAAAAGTCGATGAGTCTCCAGCTCATTCTCTCCATCATCTCCATGACGGTGCTGAATGGCGATGGGGGAGTGCCGTCGTTGCTCGCATCTCTCACCTTCGCTGGACGTCTGGTCTTCGGTTTGGTTGGAGCTCTGCTCCGTGGGGGTGTGAGAAAGTGGGAGCTCTGCTCCGCTTGGGAGAGGACGGCGGACGGTTCGGGGCTCTGCCCCAGTCCATTGGGTCCGGCTCCCAGGAACAGCTGGAGGACAGCATCCTCGAAGACGGAGGTATGAACTTCGTTGGTGGAAGACATCGCTGGTCTTATGAGGTTGAAGAAACTCGCCAAATAGACACTCGATAGTGAGCTAGAATAAAGGCCGAAGAGGCCAGATAAGTGGGGACCTTTTATAGGATCATTTGCACACCAAAATATGTACATCCAGTGTATGAACCTTATATGGGAGGTGCAAATTAACTCACCTCCAGGGTTTCAGCATGGTTGCTAGGGTGAACCCCTAGGTAAAAAACGGATTTAAGTTCTAAGAGCTCTCTGAGCTAGGATTTTGGGCCAAGCCACAGTTAATATGTTCAACCTAACCTTCCTTATATAATCCAGAATTGCTGGCACCCACTACGTGGGCTGAGCTATTCTGTAGTTATAGGGGCATCACTCTGAGCGTGGTTGGGAAGGTCTTTTGTAAGGTTTTGAACAATAGGAAGCATCTGGATAAGGGCAAAGCTTTGCATGAGGGTCAGGCTAATTTTTGTGTTGAAATGGGTTGTGTTAATATTTATGCACTGAATGAACTCGTGCAAGGTAGGCTACAGGAGGGGAAGGAGACATGCATTCTTTCTAGATGTGCAGAAGGAATACGTACGATAGTGTGTGGCGTAATAACCTGTTGTGAAGTTGTGGGAATTTGGGGTCAGAGGGAAGATGTGGAGGGACATAAAAGGGATGTACGAATCTTCAAAGAGTGCTGTTGGATGGGGAACGGTCAGAGACAATTGATTTGGAGCAGGGGGTAGCTCAGGGATGTAGCTTATCACCAATTTCGTTTTCCGTGTTTATCATTGGATTGTTGAATGATGTAGAGGAAGCTGAGATTGGGATTGATTTAAGTAGTGATGGGAGACTTGGAGGAATTATGTTTGCAGATGACTTTGTTGGTGTTAGTGAGTCTAATGCATCTAAGGATCAGTTCCAGAAATTCATACATGTGGTGCATGCCTACTGTCGGAAATGGTGGCTAAAGGCTAATGTGAGTAAGAGTGAAGTGATGGTGTTCACTAGGGAGTCAGTGGATGGTGCTTGGAAATGGGGGGAGCATATTCCTAGAGTGTCTAAAATACACATACTTGGGTGTTGATTTTACTGGTACTGGTGCATGGGATGTGCATATAAAGGATGTGTTAGACAATGGAAGAATCAGTTGCATAGTGTTATTAGTAATAAGGATATTAATTTGAGTGCTCGCAAGTTGTTGTTGACTGGGAGGAACTAAGAGTATTCTTGGGTGTTCGTCTAAGACATGTAATGAAGACATTAGGGGGATATGGGGCTTGATACGTTACAAGGGCATAGGGATAAGAATAAGTTTAAGTGGTGGTATAAGTTAGCGGCATTGCCAGGTAATAGATATCCAAAGAAGCTTTTTAATCAAGAATGGAATTTTAAGCCACGGAGAGGCAGGCAGAGGCAGTGCTGGAGTAAGGTCATTGATGATCTCTTTTAGTCACTAGGTCTTGACAAGGCAGAGTGGTTGCATGATATTCAAAATGGGGATTGCTCCTTCAAGGGCTTTCTGTCTATAGTAGGGGACAGTATCAATGAGAAGGTTTAAAGAGGGGTTATAGCAGTCGTTTAACAAGGTGGTACAGTACAAAAAGTATGGCAAGGTGGTAGAGTACAAAAAGTAGGGGGCAGTTCAATGAGAGGGAGATTAGAAGGTTTGAAGAGGGGTTGTAGCAAAGTGAAGCTGTCGTTGTATGACGTTTAACAAGGTGGTACAGTACAAAAAGTATGGCAAGGTGGTAGAGTACAAAAAGTAGGGGACAGTATCAATGAGAGGGAGATTAGAAGGTTTGAAGAGGGGTTATAGCAAAGTAAAGCTGTCGTTGTATGACGTTTAACAAGGTGGTAGAGTACAAAAAGTATTTGCATCATGGAGCAAGTGATGCTGGGTCTAGATTAATGTTTAAGTTCAGGTCAGGACTCAAATTGGACTCTTGGTAACGGTGTTGGTTACTCAGTAGCATGACGGATATGTATTACAAAAATATGTTAATTTGTTTCTGAGTTACGTGAGTTCAATCTGAAGAAGAAAGAGGAGAAGGAGGAGAAGATGGAAAAATAATAATACTCAGGCGGCAGCCATAGCACTAGGGCCATTGACCACACACCCATAAAAATGGGCTGAACCATTAGCAAACGAACACACACCAGACAGACAGACAGACGGACAGTCAGATTTATACTGTAACCCTCTGGATCATTGCGCACTGGGAGTTAAATATATACTGCTCACCTTACACTTTCATCAAGCAAGAAAAAATGACTGACAAGCAAGCCTATTGGTGTAGATAATCACCAGCAGTTTTCCTTGCCGTTTACGGAAACCTTTACGTAACTATTTCCTCACTACGAGTGATGACGTAAGGGCCTAGAAAGACATCTTGGTTGGCATGCATATATTAAATTCTTTCTTCCTCTTGCATCACCAACCTATATCCAGGCAAAGCTTTTGCTGAAATCAAGAAGATATTTGTAGTTTATATTTATCAGAGTACTGTTCAAAACTCTTCAGTTTTTAACTGTGTGATGCCTACGTGGCCCAAGAAGTGGACGTAAAATAGCATTTATAGTGCTAAGCACAATTGTGCATGTTTACATGCACGAGTTAACGCAAAAAGTGCCATTTTGAGAGTAGAGTTCTATACACCCATTTTTAACTTTGAAAATCCCACACATACTTATAATTAACCCTCGGTGCGCATGCACAGCGAGGGTTACGGTAGTTGTCGTGTGTGTCTGTCTGTCTATCTGTGAGCTATCTCACTTCACGAGCAATCAATCGCTCCACAAATGATACCACGTATTCAGCGTCGGATAAAGGTCGAAAAATATGTTGGTTGTTTTCTCTGAAACTGCTGCGTTCGGAAGTTACAGCGTGAAACACGAGCGAAAAAGGCAATATGCTAATTAGAACAGGCTTACCTCGAGTGGGTCCACTTGCTCATGTAACTTAAAGGCACAAGAAGTCACAGCGAAGGGCATGTATCGACTCCTGCATGCTATCTACTACTGTACCTAGCCCGTGTCAGACTCTCCGTGAGCTACTAGAGGGAGACCGCGAGTAAACGCATTCTAATAGCCCAGCCCATCAATTACTGGTACCGCACATGCACAGTTCGCCGAGGGTTGCTTTTTCATTGAAAACTGTAATGCTCACAAAAAATAATAATCTTCCTAATTATTTATTTCCAATAGGGATTAAATCCAGGCAAGGCTATTGCTGAAATCAAGAAGATGTTAGTAGTGTAGAGTTTGCAGTGACAAACTTTTAACTACCATTGTACATATCAGATACATGTTTTGACTGTTGGGCAACATTTGCAAACTTACATACTATTAACCCCTTGGCCCAACTTCATGCATCTGTGATGTGGTAACATGCATCACAACTACACGTCATTTTTTTGCGCTGCATCATCAGCACATCCTTGATAAAGCTGAATAAAGCTGAAAGCAGCACACACAACATGTCATCCCACCTCAAGTCACTATGATATGAATGTTGGAAGTATATACTAACGTTAAACCCTTTTGCTGCAATGCACAAGATTGCAAGATTTGTCTATATGCATGCATCACGACTATATGTGATCAGTCTATATGCTTGTCGTCGATGGCAGCACTAAAATCGCCAGATCTGGAGGTGCCTTGGTTAGTTTGAAAAATGTCCCATTGCAAACTGATAAAACAGCAAAAAAACGGCCGCAATAGAGTCACAAAACAGGTCACCTTCCAGATCAAGTACAGGAAAGTCTTGGAGAGACAGGACTTGGTTTTGCAGTACTGTGCAGGGCATGTGCTCCCTAGAGCTGTAGTTTACTGGCCTTATTGGTAGCAAGCCTAGTTGAAGTATTTTGGTGGCAAACTATTTTTTTAAGGGAGTGGCCCACCGGATGCATTTTCTACCCTAATTGAAGTATATACCATTAATTATTGGAGGCCATTGTGATACCGAGGTTGATATGAATCATCTTGGTTCCTTAGCATATATAGGTACATTCAGAACAGAAAATACATAGAATGTTGTTCAGCAATTATCAGGTAAGAAAAGATACACAAGACATACCAAGCGAGTCTACTCGGAGGGAACTGCATAACTTGAATATTCAAACACCATGATCTGCATGCAACTTAAAGCACTAATGATGACATTCGACTTCCTTTTGGTGTCTTCATTGGTTCAGTGCTTCTCCGTCACACTGACAACCTTTCAAAAAGTTTGCAGCAAAAATTTCTGTCAGCTGAACAGGGCCAACGGTTAGCATCTCTAACAATTCAGGTCCTGGAATCGTTGCATTGCGAGGAGCAATTCATCGCCCTGTATACCCGAACTTGGCAAGAGCAGAGACAGTATGAAGTTGGTGAACCAGTCCCCAAGAGGAGACGTCGTGCTCGTCGCTTTGAAGTAGGAGAAAGTGAACCAGAATTCCCACAGACTCCCGAAGAGTACTGGTATACCGTCTGTGGGAGTACCACATCCCGGAGCATTGGTGTCGTCGCGTGGATTATCCTCTGGAACGTTGCATCAGCCGTATCCTGCGCTGTCATTCCATGTAACATCCTCTGGAGATCAGATTCCATCGGTTGGAGTGCCGACCTCCTCATACACCTCATTGCCTGGATGTCCAACACGTCTTACCCAGTTCATGGAAGAGGGAGTACTACAGCCCTTCTCTCTAACCCTACTTTGCCGACAAGTCAGCTTGACCCAACTCCGCCTGTCACTTTGTCTCAGCCTGCCGGCCCGGTTTCATCCACAGCCAAAGAAACCTCAACAATAGCTACTGGGACCCATCACTTGGGATACCCTGCTACTGTGACGAATCTACTGCCCCAGATACCGAGCAGCGGCATGGATGAAGAGACTGTGTAAGACTGGTTAGAGCATTTTGAGTTGGTGGCACTGTTGGCAGGGTGGAACAATCATTTCAAGCTAGTTCATCTTGTGTCCACATTGAGAGGCACTGCACGTTCGTTATAATATAGATCATGTACTCTTGCCCAGAGGGGTAATTACCATCTGCTGGTGGCCGAGCTGAAGAAGAGGTTCACCCTGGTACAGCTGACTGCTGTGCAAACCCAGTTGTTTCACAGTAGAAAACAGGGACAGTAGGATACTGTCGACGATTTCACTCAGGATCTCAGGAAACTCCATTCCCGTGCATACTCCACCGCAACGTATGCAAACCAAGAAGCAGAGAAGGTGGGCCAGATGGTGTTAGCGAATCAATTTATCTCAGGCCTTTGGCCAGAACTCCAAGCTAAAGTGGTTGGCATGGAGGGAACAATGGATGCGCTAGTGCTGAGAGCCCGGTTTGAGGAGGCAAAGGCCAAGGAACTGGCTGCCGTGAGAACAAACCCTGAGAGGAAACCTACGACAACTGAAACTACCTCTGTTAAACCTCAAAGCGAAGCTAGCACCTCCACTCCACCTGTGCCGCCTACCACTCCCACCACCACTACCCCCAACAGAGATGAGACTCGAAGAGCAGGCCCTCGTAAGTGCTATTTATTGCGGCCTTGAGGGACACATGGCCAGAGCCTGCCCCTCCAATAAGGAGAGGAAGCTCAGGGTAAACCAGGTGTCACCAGGAGAGTGACCACAGAGGGACAGTCAGTGAATGAGATGACACCTAGGAAGCTCTTGAAGGGGTCAGTGGTGTGCTGAGCGTACTGTAGTCGGACAGCACGAGCTCGACTGCTGGACTTGGACCAACAGTGTTTGCGTCAGTTTCAGTCGACGGCGTTGCTACAAGAGCCCGGCTCACCCACCACAATCATTTCTCTCCAGTTCATTTTGAAATTGTTGGCTGGCCAGAAGACCCCCACACAGCAGTGGAAGGAAGATGTCCGAAAGAAGTTTCTGGCACCAGATATCTCTTTACAGAACTATGGAGAACACCGACTTGATATCCTGGCTCGGATACGCGTAACCTCTCCCGAGGCGGACAGCAGGTAAAAGCCAACGTGTTCGTGCAGAAAGATGCTCCCAACAACCTTCTGTTAGGAACAGACGTTCAGCCACACCTTGGATTCTCCCTGATTGTGGAAGGGGTGGATGGAAGCAAGGACGGTCTGTTGGGTGTGGCGATACCAACTACCTCTGCTGTCGTCGGAGACCAATCTTCACTCAGAAAGTCTGCTGTCGTCGAAGACCAATCTTCGTCCAGAGTATCTACCTCTGCTGTCGTCGGAGACCAATCTTCACTCAGAAAGTCTGCTGTCGTCGAATACCAATCTTCGTCCAGAGCATCTACCTCTGCTGTCGTCGGAGACCCATCTTCACTCAGTGCTGTCGTTGAAGACCAATCTTCGTCCAGAGAGTCTGCTGGGGTCTCTTCCTGCAGTGACATCCAAGAGGATAGTCTGTTGCAGCGTGGGGTGCCGCGTGGAGTTCCTACGGCTTCCTGTGCTGCAGTTGAGATACCAGCTACATGCCCAACTCCGCCTTCTGGCAATCAACTCTCAGGAAAAAAGACATTGCCTGGAAGACCAGAACCCATCTTACCCCTGGTTGGAGCCGACGATGAGCCTACCCACAAATCAACAAGGCCCACTGGTGCAAACTCTGATTCGGCAATCCCCAGTCAGATATCTCCACCACGAGAGGCAGTGGAGACTGCACTCTCACTAGGACAGCCGGACGAGATGGACCCAGACACTCGTATAGAGCTCAACCCAGATAGTGTCGACCTGGTTGGACAGATTTACGCATCACCTGAGGGCCTTGCACGATGGAAAATGCAGCCCGAGCTGGGATCTATGGTGGACAAGAGAGGGGTAACGCCAGTGGTGTAGAACATGACACAGCAGAAAGAGAAATGTGTTTACTTACAGCCACTAAAATGCCTGCTGGCCATCAGAAACTG